CCGCAATTTTGATTAAAGATCTATCAGTAATGCCTTGGCAGAAAGAAATATTTAGATATTCTATTTTATGACATGATTCCACCATTTCACATAAAGCTTTATTACCCATAATACCACTACTACATAAATTAAGATATCTCAAATTGGGGTATGCTTTAAGCTGATTTAATGCTCTATTACTAAAACCCACACAATTTTCGAAATTCAAATGAATTATGTTTAGGCATGTTCTTACGATGCCTTCAATTTTCTTACTTGAAAGTGGATTATAGTATGGAATTTCAAGATGGATTAGTTTCAAGCTATAAATTGGCTTTTGCTTCCCACATACTAATTCTATAAATTTCTTTGCTTTAGGATCGTTCTCCTTTAGTTCAATGCGTCTCTACAGAATAGGTACACCATATCTGTATCACAATCAGGAAACATATAGAGCAGGATATAGTGACTTATCTATTGCTAAAAAATGTAAAATATGTTCTAATAGTTCTGGTAAATAAAAGATGGTTAAATGCGTCATAAATATATGCTGTATCTTTAAACAAAAAAATAAAATTACGCAATCACTGCTTCAGACCCGCATAATTGGAATCATTGGTTTCTTTGGACTCAGATGAATCTGTCTTCTCGCAGAATGGCACAAAATCACCATATATTGTTAATCTTTGTTTTTCCATATCTATTTTTGCTTCGCAAAGTCATAACTATGGTAATCCTAATACAAGGTCCGCTTTCGGCTTTTCAATAACCACGAAATCATTAAAAACATCATCACTATTAGTAGATACTAGTCTATCTTTTCCCTTGTATCGGAAAGATAAATCCAGACATTCCAACCTGTTTTTTTTCTTTATATTCAGTATACTCCATCTCAAGCTTATCGACCAAGCTTCTTCTAATAAAATTTTCTCTAGATGATGTGTCTATCAATGCCTTGACTGTATAGAATCTACATCCCGCTTTCATTGCTCTATGGCGACTTTTTAGATCTATATCATCATCTCCCTGAAAATGCCAAACTTTATATTCTATATAAGCCATTTAAGTATTGTGTTTTATAACCGAATATATTTAATCAAAAATCCCTCCGGATCAGATCATTTGCGACCCTAACGCTTGTCTAACATAATTATGTACAGACATAATATCTCTTGGTACGTCAACTGACATTCTCAGTCTCCTTGACAGTTCATACATTCTGAGATATATATCAAAATAGGCTGGTATTATGGTACACACGAAATTCTCAACATGAATATTTGGATTAAGTGAAACGAGCTGATCTATGGCTTCTTTGCTAACAATATCACACCCTTTCAATTTGAGATACTTTAAATTAAGACATGAACTACCAATTTCTTTAATAATCTCATTAGTAACTCCACAATAACTAAAGTCAAGATGTTGAAGCCTTAGGCAAGAATGGATAATATCACAAATCGATATCCAAGTAATCTCTGTGCGATAAGAAATATTTAGATATTCTAGTTTGAGATATGACCGTGTAATTGCACATAGACCTTTATCAGTCACTCCCCCACCATTAAAGGTTACGAACCCACTCTTTTGCAAATTGAGATACTTCAGATTAGGATATATCTCTGCTATTCGATTTAGTATTTTATCGCCAAACCCTGTGCTAAAATTTAAATCTAAATAGACTATATTTGGGAATAAATGCGCAATGCAATTGAATTTTTTATCTGAAAGTGGATGGTAGTTTGAAATTTCTAGATGAGTTAGATTTGAGCTATAAACCGGCTTTTGTCTTTTTCGTACTATTTTCATAAATTTTTTCAATTGAGAGTGACATTTATTTTCCCACTTTAGCTTGATGCGTTTCCATAAAATAGGAGTATCACATCTGTACCATAATCGGGAAATAAATAGAACGGGATATAGTGACTTATCTACCGCTAGGAAATATAGAATCCGCTCTAATAGTTCTGGTAAATTTATAACACCTAAATGTGCCATAAATAATATATGCTGTATCTTTAATCGAAAAAAATGTGATTTTGCACCAATGATCACTGTTCTGGGCTATTGGTTAGACCAGATTTGACTTTGATATAGGAGGATCACAAAATTATCGTCTATTATTAGTGTCGAATTACACATATTTAAGCGTATACTATTTTCTCGCATCCATGGTAAGCCCAAAAGTATTTCAGGAAATTGATCAGGCCAATCTGGTCCAGTAACTATAAATTCAGTGGGTATGATTTTATGCTTCTCGCCATCATTTAAGATAATACGTAGATTAACCTTTCCTAATGTGAAATAAGACTCATTTAGAAACCCATATACTCTAGGAATACTATTGTCTTTTGCGTATGCTATTTTCACAATTTTTTCACTAATGAAATTTGCATTAGTGCCTATGTCAATCCTAAATCAAAAATCTGTAAGAATTACCCTTTTGGGTCATTCAAAATTCACCTCTCTTTTCCATATGTCATTTATACCGCTAGCATGTTTTAGATCTGGAAGATACTTTAAAATAAATGATATCAACTCTGACGGAAGAAGCTCAAGTAAATTCGATTCATGCATTTTTATATGATAGAAGAATTTTCAATCGGAAAATATGGTTAGTTATAGCACGAAGTGATAACTAGTTAAATCAGACTTTTTGGATCAGATACCTTCTTGGCTTCACCTTATTGTCAGATTTTCTCTTCACGCATATTATTTTACCTGGATTCACTTTCTTTTCTGGTGGCGCATGATCAGAATTGAATTCCTCAGATGAACTGAACTCGAACGAAGTATTTATGGATTCTTTACTACAATTGCAATGTTCTATAGTAAATAGTTCGTCTACATTATCATCCAGCCACTTTACATGTTCTTCTAGTAGTTTAACTCTCTTTTTAAGCTTTCTATGCCGAGAACAATAATGATCCAGCCCTTTTGCTAGTGCTCTATTTTCACTGGAAAATACAATATATACTTCTGCATTTTGCTTATTTAGTCTAAATGCCTGGGCTAATATTTTCATATATCTAATAACTTCCTGCTCGCTAGCTATACTATCAGATGAATGCTTTTGATCAGCTATCATTTTCGTGATGTATTCTATATGCTAGATCTTGTCTTGAACGAAAAAAAATAAAATTACGCACATTGATATCCCAACTCGATCCCTTTGGGATCCCTCTAACCCTTATATGTGAATAATGTGATTAGTTTTTATCAAAGAACATGAATGGGTTTGCTTGATCATAAGGCATTCCACGAGATCTGTAATTTACTATAGTATACCTCTGCGATGGCGTAGTGTTATTTTTAGGACTATGTCGAAGTGCTTGACTAGCAATAGTATTAGCTTTTGATAGATTCCTAACCCCACTCGCTACAACCGCAAATACAGCTCCTAAATTACGTAAGAAACTAGGAAGTAATGGCTTACCAGTTTCGGGAAGAAATTCAGCTTTTTTCAGAAATCTACTCAAGGTTCCAGTTCCAGGCGTCCCCGGGTCTCCTAACTGTCCGGAAGATATTGCTTCCTGAATCTATGTAAGCAATTGCTTTGCCTATTCCTCATTCTTTTCAAGTGATCTAAACACTCGAGGAATATCCTGTTGATCTCAGTTTTTTACATATCCTATTACACCTCCATTAGATATACGCAAATCTTTAATTTCAGCTGAACGGATACAGAGCATAATCATTACATCAGCTAGGGCCTGTTTGTCAGGTGTATTAGATACATTATACGAATCCAATCTCTCCTTAACTGATTTTAACGAGAAGTGGTCTAAATAATGAATTCCTTCATCTTCGCATAATAAACTCTTCTCTTTTTAGATTTTATTCGATAAAGTGGTTATCCCTAGAATCTTCGTAGCTTCAATTATTGCCTTTGGGGCATTAAGCTTCTGCAATTCCTTTTGGAGCCTACTGAGACTAGATGTGCAGGCAACCAAATTAGGGGATGTCTCGGCTAATGCTTTAGCTATAAGTTTTACTTCTTTTTCACCAAGGCTATCCCGCATAATACGCTGAGCTGTTTCTCTAATGATTTCTCCTTCTGGGATAATATCTGATACTTGGCAGGCGCTTTTAGCACAGTATATATTCACTTCCACTTCTGCCCCTCCTTCTTTGGGGGTTACTTAACTTTTAGTTCAACCAGTTCTTTGAGAAGGTATCAACGCAAATGCTTGTTCTTTACTAAAGTTATATCCTTTTTGAAGATGATCGCAAGCTTGACGCCTTTTCTCTCTATCAGCTGGTAAGAGCTCAAGTATTTCTGGCACATACTGGCTATGCTCTTCGAGACTCATTTTATTGGTGAGTTCGTGGTCTGTAACGAACTTGGTTGTAATAGCAGACATGTTGTGGTAAGTAGACTATGGTAGTAGTTAGATTAATCTGTGGTATTCAGATTATATATTGTGGGATAAAATTCGAAAAAAATATTCCGATAATGTTCGCTACCTCATAGTCAGTGAAAGCTATCAGAGGATTGGAGGAGTGAAATAATAATGATATAGCTTATGTTAGGTCTCTATGAAGCCACCGGCCAGGGTATCTTTTATATATTTGAAAATTGCAGGTAGATAGGATATGCGAAAAAAAAATAATAATAATTTGGAATTATATATTGCCTATGTGTAAAGACTATAAAGACCCTCTTACCCAAACAGCTCTCTTGTGAACTGGCTTTTTATTCGCTCTTTACCAAAGCATACCATTCTCCTGGAGTATGCTTACCATTTTTTTCCATTCCTCATCAGTATCAAGTCAGGAGGATGTAACTCCATCATCCTCGAGCCCACGATGGATTATTTCTTCTCCTATTAATCTTTCACGTACTGTCATGTTCATATATTCTTTGAGGTCTTCTTCCGTCTTTTCTGCCCAACCACATATTTGTGAATCGGTTTCCATCCTATCCCAGAATGCAATGGAATCGAGATGGTCTTTTTTTGGTAATGATCACGAAGTCATCTGAGTTCTCACCTAGTTCGACTGCCTTTTTTTTGAGACGCTCTTCTCGCTGGGCTCTGGCCAGAAGTATGGCAGATGATACTTGATTGATAGGCTTAGGAGAGTCACACTTGTCGTTTGTTTCTTTTGGAAGCATATTCACCACTTTGTTAATAGGCTCAGGTTTATCCATTACTTGCTCAGGTGGTTTGGAAGTCTCAGATGTGCCAGATGTTGAGGTGACTAGAGCATATATATCCTTTACCACAAAGTCAAAAAGGTTCTGGATCGATTCATCCTGATTACTGGCCTTCCTATCTTTACTGGTATTAGGTAAAGGCGTGTTCTTTTTTGGCTGAGGCGGGATTATTTTCTGGGGAATAGTTTCTGGCACATTGAATATAGGTATGTTTGTGGTCTCATTCTGGGATCCCTTGTTTGTGGGTATGTCATCTTGAAGTGTGTCAGAAAATTCTTCCATATCACCTAGGCCAGATTCACCGAGCTTGGCTACGATCTTAGAGCGGTCAAGTATATATTGCCATTCCCTTTTTCTGCCACCTGTTCGCGCTTGTTTGCTCTCAATACCAATATCTGAAAATTTCTTCCCAATAATGTTATTAGAAAATGGCTTTTCACCATTCTCTCCACACCATTCAAGATACTTCTGATATAATAATGTACGACTTGGACTGGCTATTTTAACCCTACACCATGAAGAAATATGGTCAATTATAAATCAGATGGGATTAGGTAATTGGTCTCGCATTGTTTTTATCTTCATTTTAGTTACAGGAATTTCTTGTGGTTCAAAGTCTAAGAGGTCGCAACTAAGAAGATATCTCATGATTACTCCTGGTGCATTGGGATGGTCAAGAACTTCTCCTAGTCGCTTAAAATATACTGTATTTCCTCTACATCGTGAAGACACATCAAAACAGACTACACAAGAATCCCCTATATCTATTTTGAGCGGAGCATCCTGGTTGCTTGTAACCATAAATCTGGTGAAATCTCTAATTCGCTTTGTTTCAATACTCTTACGCTTTATAGACACCATTCCTTCTGTTATAAGGGATTTAAGATGTCCGTTAAATTTATGCTATTCCCTACTAGACATTCCAGTCTCGTTCATAATAATAAGTTTTCGAGCTTGAATAGCACTATTAAATCGCCCAAGAATTTTCTTCAAATCTGATGTAGCATAATGGAGATGTTCCCCTAGGACTTTGTCACCAATAAAGTCAGTGATAATATTTTTTCTACACTGCTGTAGTGTAGACTTTAAGACTAAGATTGACTGAGGCTTTTTTTCTGGCTTCTGCACTAAATATGCCTACCAATTCCAAAAATATTCGTGAAGCTCCACATTTTCATTACTGATTATATCCATGATTTCGGGATTAATTTTCACCGCTGGCTTAGCCAAAAATCCTATAAAAAGGTTAAAGAACTTTGTATTGGAAACTGGACTATTCAGCGGATACGGTAAAAAATTAATATTGTAGTAAAGGATTAGACCTTTGGTAACCGCCTGATCTATTAAGTTAATTAACTTCACCCCCTCCCCACCTAGCTCAAGCAAGTTAACTTCATACTTGGCAAGATCTAGCTTTGACGCCATATCAAAATAGAGTCCACCATTCGTATCCTCTATTTTGAGCACCCATAATCTTGATGTTGTTTGAATACAGGCGACCGTTGCCTGTATTGCTTCATAAACTTCATTATGAGAAAATTTTCGCCCAGAGGTGCTCATATCAATTAAATCTTCCCATACAAAATGGTCATTTGGGTCAGAAATTCTGGATCAGTCTAGTTTTGTAGGACTTGGGAGCTTTTGTTCTCGATCCAAGGCAGTTTTACTAATAGTAAGCTTTTTCAAAGGTTTTCTAGAGCCAGGTTCCCTATCATTATTTGCCTAGTAGCAGAAAAAGCTGTAGGATTTTTTATTTTGAATAATATATCCATGATCACTATCATGTTCTCGATCACATATTGGGCAGTGCGATAAAAAGATGCGTAATAGTGGAAATTTGTTGGGAAAATTTTCAGATGGATATAAGAGACTATATCTTTCGATGCTAGCTTCTTGAAGTAATGTCTCTACTAGTTCGAATTCAGCATCGGTGATAACATTATTTGTGCTAGAACATCCCTCCATTTTTGCTTTCGAAACAATCAAGAGAGGACTGTTCTTGATGACTTCTGATTCATCATTGGGTGGGCGAATCATGAAGTCAAAGATTGTTCCATCTTTGGGACGAATAGCTTTTTTCACACGAATATGTTCTCCAGTTTTTTCATTGTATTTGGGTGATCCAAGCATCCGCAAGGAGAATGAATATTTGTTTGCTATGTTATCGATAATGCTATTTTCTTGTAGAGCTGTCAGAAGTTTTTTACGAACAAGCTCAGTGAACATCACGACTTGAGCAATATTTGGAAGTCTCATGCCAAAGGTTGAAATATGGAGAGATATTTTTTTCTCATCACTACTTTCGGCAATAGTTAAAGTTTCTTTATCCCATTCTGGGAATATTTCTAGGCAAGTATCTCTGAAGGTACAACAAAGTGAATTTTTTATCTGACCGCCTGAAAGCTTGGGAGTTATAGCATTTAATATTTCTATTGGCAAATCAAAGTCTATAACAGGACGGAATGGCTCATCTCCATCAATAAATTCGTGTAAGAAGTAACCCTCACGCTCTGTTAGTATGGCTTCTATTTTATCTGCATTGTCTGCACCAAGGAAATGCCTTGGTTTAACACTATCATCTCGAATTTTATATAGAGATGCACCTATATCGGAGGCTCTGTATCCTTGATAATACAGGGCGAAAGGCGCGGAGAGGAATTCTGAAAGCTCAGATTGTTCGGTCATGATATTATATCGCAAATATACAGTTTGAGAGAAACTATATACTCTGGGAAAAAAAAGTTTAAAATGAAAATTAATTTCGAACTATATAGATCAATACATAAATCAACAATCCATAGTTATTAAAAATGGTATTTTATCGATGTACTTATATCCACAGGAGTGGTAAGATTTGCAATCGAGGATGCTACCATCCAGAAGGATGTTTTATTCATCGCAATTCTCCTTCTCAGGTATTTTGCAAAGAATGTGAAAAATTATCTTATTCTGGATATGGATATTGCGATGATCATGCTAGAAAGCACTGTAAAAGGGAATAATACCATGGGAAAAGGATGGTAGACTTAGCTTCAGCGGAGATACTGGTAGGTAATTTAGAGGTAAACGAAAATGATACAACTTGTCACTAGAAAAAAAACTTGTGATAGAACTTGTGACAGAAGCTTGTGATGCAGATGATAGGCTCTTTAGGAATTCTAGGCCGAAAGAAAGTTTTCTTAATGAGTGTCACAGGTGGCACAGGCGTCACTGGAAAAATCGGTCAAATCCTAACTTTTTTTTTATTTTTTATAGCATATATACACTACATATATATCATACATATACTATATCACGATACATATATAGCATTAGGATAGCATAGAAAATTTTTAATTTTTTTCCTAGAATTTATTACTCTTTTACTTGTGACACTAGTGACAGTAATCAAGAAAGGAATAAAATAGCCTAATAATCTCAAAAAGCATAATGAACATGTCATAGGTTGCGTCACAGGTTAGTATATGAAACTTATGATACTAGTGACGCTCAAAATATAGCATATATATAGCATACCAATAGATATACCATACTAAGATATATCATAGAAAATTTGATTTTTTCCCTAGAACTTTACTTTTTCTTAGTGACTCTTAGTAACATAGTGACAGATATAAAGGAAGATAACCGAGCGTCCCTAAACTTCGAAAAAAATATACAGGGGTGTCACTAAAAGCGTCACTAAGAGCGTCACTAACAAATTTTCTTGGTAACGGCATACATATAGGATGGATTCAATATTTTTTTCCTATAACTTTACTTTTACTAGAGGCATTAAGAAGCCCAAAAATGATATCAAGATTATATTCCTAAGAGCGTCCTCAAGAATTTTTCTTATAAGGATAGAAAATTTTTATAGGGATGATAAAAAAACTTAACAAAGTACTTTTGGTACCTTCTTTGACGATTTTTTATAGGACAAAATGTGATATATTTACATTTGCATTTCAAATTCTCTGACCCGTGGGTCAGCAAAAGTCACGTGACTAGCGCAGTAAGGCGCAGTACTGGCCAGCATTATTCCACAATTTTGGCCAGATCTTTAGGCATAAGAAGTCAGCATCCAAGTTGGCAAACTACCAGTTCCATGACAGTTCCATGACAGTTTCACAATAGCTACCAGATCACTACCATGGCATCAGGCTGGATCCTCAAATCACATACCCAAAAGATCGACCAGAATTATAACATAGTGTCTAGCCAAAATTAATCGCAGATTTACATCAAAATACTGCGCTACCCGATACCATATTTTTTTACCACATTTCAGCATCTAGAAAGACAACCAAATAGGCACAAAGGGTAAGTACTTCAATATAGAATTTGACATTCAATCAGACGTGAAAGGTCAGTATCAACAATATATAACTTAAATTACAAATAGAGTAGAAACAGGAAGAAAAGAGAGGTATCTAGATTAAAGTGTAGGGGTATTTAGATTATAACGTGGTAATAAAATCATACATAAGAGAAAAATACAGATATCAAAAAAGGTATAAAAATATAGCTAGAATGTGAATAGAGATAGCATCAAAATAAAAGGGGTAGATTATAGTGTGGTAGCCAGATTATGTATTCAGATTAAAGCGTGGTAATTAGGTCGTAGTAATTAGATTATAGCATGATATTTAGGTTATAGTGTGATATTTAGATTTTAGTGTAGTATTTAGATTATAGTGTGGTATTTGGATTATAGTGTGATATCTAGAATATAACGTGATATTCAGATTATAGTATAGTATTTAGATTATAGCGTGGTATTATAACCTAGTCCAAGTGGGATACTACGCTATAATATAATTATATTATAACGTGGTATCCCACTAAAAGTAATAATAATAATAATAAATATAATATTAAAATTTATAAAAAAATTTTCTGCTTATTTAATATAACTAATACTCTAAATAGTTTAATTTAGTCTAAATTATAAGTTAAATCTAAATTTAAACTAAACTATAAATTAGTAAAAATCTAAATTAACTGAAAATTTCAGATTAATCTAAAATTTTAGATAATTTAATTATTCTAATTAAATGATTTTCTTAATATTTATTTAAAATAATCTATTTAAAATTTTAAATTAATCTAAAATTTTAGTTAAGTTTAATTTTTTTTTAATTCAGATTAGATTTATAATCTGAAAAAAAATCTGAATTAAATTGAAAATTTTTAGATTGATTTTTTTATAATCTAAATTTAAATTAAAATTAATTTGAATCAAAATTTTAAAGTAATCTGAACTGTTTAAAACTTTAAATATAACTAATTTTTATATATATAAATTAAAATTTATAATTCTATTTTATATATTAATATTTAGAATTATAAATTTTTATTATAAAAAATTTTTAATTATTATTTTAAAAAAATAAATAATATCAACAGTTAATTAAAAATTTTTTTTAGAATAAAAAAATTAATATAAAATTACAATCAAACTTTAGATATTCTTCTTTCTATTATATTAACAATTAAATAAATTTAAAATTTAGTTTAAAAGGAAATTTATTATTATATTATTTTAAATAATAAATAATCTATGACATAAATTATTAAAATATTTTATTATATATTATAATTAATTAAAAAATATTATTTTATTATAATAAAATTAATTTTATTTTTTTTAAATTTTTTAATAATTAAAGTATTTAATTATATTTAAAAATAAAATAAAATTTAATAAATTATTAAATAAATTTAATAAATATTATTTTATTAATAAATTATCTAATAAATAAAAAATATAGTATTACAGTCAGTTCTTTATGTTGCTTATAAGTGATAAACAAAGCAATATTTTTAAATGATAAGCAAAAAGTTTATTTTATAATTAACTTTAGAAGAGTGTTGATCAATAGACAGTTTATTTAATAATAATAATAAATGAATACTGTCTCAATCAGTACTCTATATTGTACAAGTATATTAGAAAGATTAAAGTAAAATTATCTAAAGAAATATATGAATCAGATATGCTACTAAACTAAAAGAAAATATCTTTTATTTATATAAAATAAAATACATAAAGTTATCAAAGAAATAAAAAAAATAAATATAAATATAATAAAATATATGTCATAAATGATATAGAAAATATATATGATATATATGATTTCTTAGTGATTGATGTTATCCTTTTAATTATTATTATCTATATTTTTTTTTTTTTCATATAATAAAAAATATTTTATTTTACTTTATAAATTAAATATGATTTTTTAGTTAATAAACTTAGATTTGATATTAACTTAAAAAATTTTTTAAAAAATTTTTTTTTTTATTATAAAATGTTTATATTATCTAATTTAAACTTATGTATTTCTTCATTAAAATTTTCATTATTATAATTATAATTTAAATATTTTTTAATATTTAATATTTTAATCCAATTTTTTAATCAATAATTTACATTAGAAAATTTATTAATATTATTATTTTTTTTAATATTATTTTTAAATTTAGACGTTTTTTTAATAATATTTTTTGATATATAAAATAAAAGAAATTTTATTTTTATTATTTTATTTGATCTTTTAATAAAATTTTATTTTATTAGAAATAAAGTAATTAAATTTTAATTATTATATAAATAAAGTATACTTTATATATATAATTTTTAGTAACATAATTTTATATATTTAAATTATTAATATACTTAGAAAAAAAACTTACAAAAATTATTTTTTATTATTATAGCTTAAAATAAAACTAGGAAAATGAAAATTATAGAAATTTATTATATCATTTAATTTTGATAAAAAATCAACAGTTTAAAGTTTGTTTTTTTTATTAATAATATAAAAAATTATATATTATTAATGTTATAAGTAGAAGTAACACATAATCAAAAAAGAAATAAGCAGAAGGATAATGAATGAGGTAATGTTAGCAGATAAAAGGAAAATTTCATTTAGGTTTTTAGAAATTAGAAATTTTTTAACTTTCTCTATTTTAAACAAATTAGATATAATTCCTTATTTATTTATAATATAATCTAAAAAACTAACATTAATTTTTTAAATTCACATTTATTATATTTTAATTTTAATTCAGCTTTTTTAAATTATTAAAAAATATATTACAAATGATTAAAATATATCTCAAAATTTTCAAAAAAATAATTATATTATTTAAATATATAATATCAAATTTTTCAATTTTTCTTTAAATATTTTATTTATAAATTATTAAAAGGTAATAAGTTTATTAATTAATCTAAAAGTATAATTGTGAATTCATATAATCTTTAGCTAATAATAAAAGCCATTTTTTATTGATTTTTTAGTATCATAGTTACTTACTAATATTTGCTAGCTAAATCTAATGTAGTAAAATATTTAGCATACTAAAAATTTTATTAATTTAAGAAAAAAAAGTAGCAGTTTTCTCTATTGGTACTATTTAATTTTGATAGTCAATATAAAATTTTTAATTTTCTATTCTTTTCTAAATTAAAATAACAGATGAATTCTAAGATTTTTAAAAAGCTATATTAATTTATTTTTTAATATTCTACTGATTTCTTCTTTAATAAATCTTATTCTGAAAATGTAATTTAATAAGCTTATTATTTAATAAAAAAACTAATCTTAAGTGAGATATAATGAGTTTTAATATTAATATATCTTAATTGAAATAACATCAGCAAATATATTATTATTTTCTGCAAAAATTATATAAGCTATTATTATTATTCATTATTAAAATGATTTTAATTAAAATAATAGTTTTTTTTTCTAATATATTTAAAAATAATTGTAAATATTCCTATTTCTCTTTATATAAAATATATTTATCAGTTAATTGATTTAGTTTGTTATAATACTAACAGTAAGTTTTAGGTCTTTTTTAGTAATATTTTTATTTTTTAAATAAAAGTAATTATACATTAAATTTTTATTTTAAACTTTCATAATATTAAGGTAAATAGGTTTATTTTTTTAATAATAATTTGTTTAAAATTACTTTTAATAAGGATGAATTGAGTTATTGATCTTCTAAAATAATATAATGTTATTATAATATCAAAAATTCATTCTTATATTTATTATCTAGTATTAGCTTAATGGGATTAGATTATTGAAATTAATCAAATAATAGTTTTTTCTAATAAGTCATTAGAACTTGATATATAATTCTATTTTATTTAAAGAAAAAATTTCTTTTATCTTATTAAAGTTAAGTTTAATATTTAATAAACTAATCATTTTAAGTATAATATAGTAATTATCTGATTTAGTAATATCTACTTTTATCAAAATTTCTACATTATTATTTAGATAAGAATATTAAAACTAGTTATAATGATTATATTCATCTTTCTTAAATGTTGATTATTATAATATAAAAAGTTGCTTCAATATTTTATTTTAATTATTTTAAATATAATTTTAATATAACACTTTTAGTTAATTTTAAGTTTTAAAATTAAATAAATTAATTTTTTATCAACATTTGTATAATAAAATATTACTTCTATTATTTTAAATTTATTTAAGGAATTTTGATTATTATCAATATATTTACTCTCCTAGAAATATCATTAATAGTTTAAATATAGTCAAAGAAATGAGATAATACTATTGAACTAGTAGTCAAAGTTATAGTAATTTTAGTAGTATCATATATAAAAAAGTAGAAGATTGCAGTGAAATCATAAGGGTATTTTAAAATAAAAAACTCTTTAACTATTATTGAAATTGTTATAATTAAA